AACCGGTACAGGGACCACATTACTGTGGATGCCGCACCGATCCGTCTGTCAACTTGCCGCTCCATTTTTCCCTCACTCGTGAACAAAACCCCCGAGATACTTAAACTCCTCCACTTGAGGGAGCAACCCGCCCCCAACCCGGAGAACCATGGCCTCAGATTTGGAGGTCTGCATCTCAGTATGATCATTTTATATGACTGTTCCTCAGCCTTCGAACCCAGAAGCTGTTCCAGTTGAGCGAGGATTGAGGATGTCCCAAGACTTATATTCCCAGAGAAGCCGTTAGCGAGGATACAAGAGACCATCCTTCATGAAATTCTTTTATAGACAAACACACCCCTTCATCAGCATCAGTTGATGAATAGATGCTTCAAACGAAGGATTGGAGGGAAGGACATCTCATGTCTCTATAAACCTGTTTCCTTGATTCCTCCCTCCATACATTGTCTCCTTGCATCTTTCCCTTGTATCTTACCTGGCTTGGAAGTAATAGATGCAAATGAGCCCCTACCCTCTCCCCAACTAACCACAGGATCGGGCTCGCCCAGGCCATCACTGCAGCTAGTGGAATTCACCACCTAACTCACTTTCAGTAATTTAGTCTTAAGTCATTAACACTGTAATGTGAGGTAAAATGTCTGATTTGTACGAGATGCAATTTAAACTCTTCCCAACTTACGGTACTTACTCTTCAGTCTAAACAGTCACATGTTTATAACTACAGATTCAGTTAGCTATGCAGCAGTTACACCTGTTTATTTCTACACAAGAACTGGTTTGTGTGGGGCAGCCTGATTTCATTTAGCTATGTGCTAATTTCCACTTAGTAAACATTTACTAGATGGATAACTAGACCAACTGGCTCTAGGACTATTATCTGGTTCATTCATTCACTCACACACAGCTGGTGACCAGGTCTTCACAGTCATTCAGTGGCAAATGTTTAAACTAATTTTCCTGATATGGTGTTTTTTATAGGTCAAGTGGAAAACCAAGCACACATGAAAACTACTCTATGTTATACATTTACATCAAATTGTACTATATCAGCTGCAGTACACTTAGTTAAACATTACCTTGTTGCCATTAACCAGGTAAAAAAAAAACCATTGAGATCATGATCTCTTTTACAAGGGTGATGATGATTTACAAGGCCATGATTATATGTCGGCAATGAGTAAAGAATACATATTTAGCAGAAAGCTACTGTGCACTTATCTTGCATTACTTGACCATCTAAATGGTTCTTTCAGGTCAGAATTGTCAGAAGTCTCTGATTGGTCAATCTTGAGCATGCACACAAACCTCCAGATCCGGTAGAGCTGGGAGCTTCCTGCGCAGCCGAGAAAGAAGTTGACAGCAAACAAGTTCCAGTTCTTCGGGATTATGACCAATGAGTATCTGGACCAGACCAGCCCTGGAGGAGAAGGAGGACAATGGTAAGAGTGGAGGTTAAGCACACTGGTTTTCATGTCGTCAGTCTGTTTTGGAACAAGAGCAGCAGATAACATTAAAGACACACATTGCAAAAGTAAACATATCAGGCCACCTTTAGCACAGACTGGTCAAATTCCCTTTGAACTGAGCTAATAAAGTAACAGCTTTGAAACATTCAACAACTCAAGATGGAGCTTAAAATTCTATACATAGTTTGAAACTTTAGAATTGATAGGTTGAAGGGTGAAATTGTTTACCCGTGTCAATTATATTTTTCTAGATCACATTATTTCTGTTTTAAATTACAGTAAATAGATATAAGCTTCAAACTGGTTAAAGTTTCATCTCACCTGTGGCTGTTAGTACTGCAGACTGGGAGGTACTGAGTTTTTCGGCTGGGCGGGGCCTCTTACGCAAAACAACCACAAACAGACCCTGGCAAGCAGAGATCATACTGTATTTACTGTAGGACAACTAGTCAATTTAAACTAGGCTGCTAATTATGTAATGGTGACTGGTTAAATGCATTCTGTCAACCTTGGTGTTGGACTCCTAGAAGGGCTGTAAGATGATACATTTCATGACATTTCTGCTACACAGGATCAGGTTTTGTTTTGCTTACTGGATAATTTTATATCTTCAGGCTCATAAAAAGGATTAAATAACACAACTTGCATCAATGATTGAAATGGCTAGCATGCAGACGTCTGCAATTTATGACAAATAAGTTGCAAAAAGCTTTGTTTTAAGGCATAAAAAGCCAAACCTGAAAACCTCTGGTATAAGTTGAACTAGTTAGACAGAGTTGTGTTAAAATGCACTTACCCATTTAAACATCGGGGCCCAGAAGAAAACTGTTTTTGGACCTTGAATAATAAAAAAAAAGAGATATAAATTTGCTATGTTATTTTCTAACAATGGAAATACCATAATTTGTTTTGTTATTCAAGGTTTTCTCTGGGTGGGAAGTTGGGCTCCTTTCAGACATACACTAGAACCCTGAAATTTTCTAGACATTATCCAGGGAAGCTGTATGTAAAAATGCAGATGTCCGAGTCAGTCGACCTCGATCTTAAGTACACTTTACTCTGCCAGTTCCATAGTACAAAGTCCACATAAGACCCAAGTGAGAATGCAGCCCTGTATTGTCCGGAATATTCACGCGGAGCTAGGGGGTTGATGACGTTCTATCATGTGACCCGAGCCAAACCGGAAGAATACAAACATCTGTTGGCAAAAAAATTTGTCATTTACAATGAAGACACCAGTAAAAAGATTCGGGAACTTTTGTCGTCACGAGTCGGCACCAGAATCGTCAGACAAATTTAAGGTATGACAAGAGATTCGGTTGTTTATGACCAAATTACAAAGTGGCCATGTCCCGCCTCCTGTGTACTCTAGTCAGGCGCGAGATTAATGTATGACAAAATGAATGTAGGATTTATTGTACAGTTGCTGAGTTATACTGCATTAACTTGAGGTATGTGAACCTGACCCTGTGCGATTATTTTTTAAGATCCAGACCCACAATAAACTTGTTGGCTTTATGGTAAACAAAGCTGCAAACTTTGCCTGCCATACACTCAGCTCTTCTTCTCTGGACTGAGATGCTTGGCTGATGTTATCTCAGCAGATTAGGGTCTCCCACATCAACAGTGACACGTTACAACAACAAAATTCGTACAGCTGAAACATCAAGCCCGGACAGGAGCTGCTATTTTGTTCCCTACAAGATGCAGTTAAGACAAGTTAATGCCTCAACATCACATCAATGAACCACCACTACACATCACAAATACCCATTCTGCTAAGCAAGGTATTGGGTGAGCGGATCTGCATTACCTGCTGGGTGGTTGTAGATAGGCCTCAGTTTGGCAGGCAGCAAGTGCTCGATCCTATCCAAAATCCTGTGGTAAGACGCTCTCAGCGCAGCCATGGTTGTAGATGTTCTGATCGAAATAAAAACAATGAACGAAACTTGAAGCTAGCTAAATGGTTGGCTAGCTAGCTACGGAACTTCTTTAAAATCCAAAGAATTTCAGAACCCGTTTCAATTCGCCTATTTGTACGATGTTGAAAAATAAATAAACGACGGATAGATTACACGATAGATGCCACTGTCCTACTGTCGACCTTTCCCCCACAGCAATGGGACCATGCTAACGATGTTAGCTGCCAGACAGTAGCTTCTCTCTGACCGACACGACGAGGTGACTTTCTGTGCGACGCAACCTACCGCGTAAGGGGCGGGGCCAGGTCACACTTTTCTCTATTCTCATTGGCCAGCCCGATAGAGGCGTTAGTTAGTTTTTTTTTTCTTCAGGGCGTATCCCAGCTGGGTGGAAACAAGTCATGATAACTATTGGACTGAACAATAGCATTTAGATGGTCAGTTTTCACGTTATAAACCCGATTTACAGCTGCATGTTAAAAACGGCACACTGTAGTTCGAATTTAAAATTTTGATTTTAATTGTGTTGAATTTTGTCCCAAATGGCATTCTTTTTATTCACAGAAAATAGACTCTCGGTGTTTATTCTATTAATTTGTAGCATGTTGAATAAACTGTCAAATTATACAAATCAGTAAAAAAATATACACACACAATGAAATTTTATAACTGCATTTTATTACATCTTGAATGTAGCCATCATTTACTTATTACTAGATTTATTTTTATTTTTTTCTTTGTAATTATTTGGATCTCACCTTTGTTATATTTTCACATTTATTAGGTCAAGGTCAAAGTGATTATTTGTCATATGCACATTTAGGAAACGTGTTTCCCTGTACAATGAAATTCTTACTTTGCCGTCCACATGAATGCCACATAAAACAAGTGAAATATAAAGTAGATGAGCAATAATACAAATCTAAATAGGCAGTAAAATCACAAATCTAAGGCACTTTAAAGTATCAAGTGAAGGAAGCAAATAAAAATGCAACAAAAACACAATATAATGCAGAGAGAATATATGCTATGTGGGAGCCATGGAGTGCAAATACTTGGCAGTGAGTATGCAATTATGCATGTGCAAAATGAGTATGTAAACAGTACAGATGGAGTTACCTGAGGTAGATCCTGAGTCAGCTGTTTAGGAGTCTGATGGCAGTCAGAAAGAAAACGCTTTTTAGTCTAGAAGTCCTGCATTTCACACTTCTGAGCCTCTGACCAGAGGGCAGGGGTATGAATAGTCCATGCTGGGGGTGAGTGGGGTCCTTGAGGATGGAGGCAGCTTTCCTACGCACCCTACGGTGGTAAATGCTTTGCAGAGAGGGCAGTGGAGTCCTGGTGATCTTCTCCACAGTCTTTACCACTCTCTGCAGGCGCTTGCGGTCCATAGCAGTAGTGCTGCCATACCAAACAGTGATGTAGCTGGTCAAGATGCTCTCAATGATGCAGCTGTAGAAGTTGCAAAGGATCCTAGGCGACATGCCAAACCTCCTCAGCCTCCTCAGGAAGTACAGCCGCCGTTGGGCCTTCTTGACCAGCTGTGTGGTGTTAAGTGTCCAAGTGAGGTCCTCACTGATGTGGACACCCAGGTATTTGAAGCTGCTCAACCTCTCCACCTTGAGCCCCCGGATGAAAAGTGCCTGATGAGATCTCCTCTCCTTCCTCATGTCCACTATCATCTCCTTCGTCTTGTCCATGTTGAGGCCGAAATTATCGTCCTTGCACCATGACACCAGACCAGCCACCTCCCTCCTGTAGGCTGCTTCGTCCCTGCCAGTGATGCAACCTATCACCGCTGTGTTGTCTATGGACTTTAGGATGATGTTGTCTTTGTGGGAGGCGATACAGTCGTGGGTCAACAGGGTAGAGGATGGGACTGAGGACACATCCCTGTGGGGTGCCGATGTTCGTGATGATGCTGGGTGAAGTTCTATTGCCAATCCTGAGAGTCTGAGGCCTGCCATTCAGAAAGTCCAGGAGTCAGTCACAGAGGGTGGGGTGCAGACCCAGTGTGGACAGTTTGTGGGTGAGTTTGTGGGGGACAACTGTGTTGAAGGTGGAGCTGTAGTCAGTGAAGAGTATCCTGATTGTACTCCATTTGCATTGTTTAAAACCTTTGTCATGAAAAAAATTGAATTATAATTTTAACAATAAGGTTTTGCACATAAGTTATATATTTTCATATAGTACTTTTAAAGCCTGCTCTTATTCAAGTCCAACATAATGTATAAGATAAGCAGTAGAAAATATGTAATTATAAAAACCACCTCACCCAACCCACCCCAATAAAACTACGAATAGTAGCAAAAATATTAACTATGGCAGGTTCTAGTTTCCTACGTGATATTGTGGTCTTCTCAGATAGAGGAGTCCTGTGACAAATAGATTCCAGAGCTAGGCAATAATAATTCTAGGATTTCTCCGCCCCGACAGCTATTTGGTATATAAAAACAAGCGCATCCATTTTCTCCGTGAAAACACGTAATTTCTCGCGTTGTTTGGACACAGCTGACTGCTGTCTGTTAAAAGACATAAACCAGGCTACGCTAGTTAGCAGCTCGGAGAGTAGGGGTACAGCCAGCGTGAACACAAGACGACAGCAGAGACAGGAGAGGAGCGAGTCTTCTGACCAGCAATGCAAACATTGAGTGACGCAGCTAGCTAACACGTTAGCGCTGTCCCGACAGACGGGGACTGATCCCGATGGCGAAACCGGAGCGACCGTAGAGAAAGGCGACATCAATAGGAAAGGGATTAGCTTAGATTCAATGTTATTGTTAATTAAGAGCCACATATGGTCACAATGTCCTGCTCTGGTAACCTGGTTTGGGATGTAAATAAACGCTTAATTGGATACAACGAGCCTAACGCCATCAGAACCAACTATTTAGGTAAGAACAATTCAAGTATCTTTAATGCTAACGGTAATATAGGTGAGATCACAAGAATACGTATCATCAGTACTGTGTTTAGCCCCGCTACAAACCAACACGACTGTGCCCCAAGTCACTGGACTTTGCTGTAAATAACAGAGAGCTGCTGCTCGTTGTGCAATGTCATAAGCGTCTAGTGTAACCGCATGTGAAGTTAATTTGTTTAAGTGAAAGAGGAGATGAGAGGTGAAGCACTAGATAGATGGGATTAAGTGTCATGTATAACCCTTAATAGTGCAGCTCTCTCTGAGGTTATAGCTAGAGCAAAAATCAGATTTTCATAGTCATATTTTCACTTTCAGAAATTAAATATATTAGCACAGGAATTGCAGCAAACTGTATATGTAATCACAAAACAGATTTTGCCTTAGATAATGTATAACAATGCAAACATTCGCAGGCTATATATGGATTGAGAGCTGAACTCTAAAGTATAGTCCCCAGAATGTCAGAATGAATGGCTTCACTCATGTAATGTTTTTATGAAGGCTTTTTGCATTATAAAGTGCTTTCAGCTTTGCAGGAACTCATAAACAGTGGAAATGAAACCATGTGCAAGAAAGTACTCTAAATCACAACATTTAAAACATGTGTACAGCTACATATGCACAGGTGCAATTATTCACATATAAAACTTCCATAGTGTTAAAAGCTGAAGTGGAAACAGCTGAGCAACTCAGGCGGTTTTATTTTATTTTTTTATTAAAATATAATGACCACAATCCATATCTTTAGAAACAGTGATGCACGGTGACAGTAAATTGAAAGAGCCTGTAACAGCACTACAATGTATTGAAGTTGTCGTACAAGATCATGATACAACCCCAAATCAGAAAAAGTTGGGACGGTATGTAAAATCTAAATTAAAACTGAAAATAGCGATTTATATATCATCCATATCCTATCTTACATTAAAAACAATACAGCAGTCTGGATGATCCGTTTTGTCTTTGGTCCGGAGCACACGACATCCATTCCTTTCCAAAAAAGATCTGAAATATTGATTCATCTGACCACAGTACACGTTTCCACTGTGCGATGGTCCATCCCTGATGCCTCAGAGCCCAGAGCAGTCGACTGTGCTTCTGGACACTGTTGACATAGAGCTTCCTTCTGGACACATTACAGTTTTGAGCAGCATTTATGGATGTGCCACAGTAATCCTGAGCCCATGTGGTTATATTGCTTATAGAAGAGTGATGATTCATTATGCAGCGCCGTCTCTTTTAATTATGTTATGCACCGTAGAAGGTGACATATCCATATCCCTTCCTATCTTTCTTTTAGGAACATTGTTGGCAAACTGGCGGTCCTCAGCCCATCCTTGCTCCTAAAGGGCTCAGCCTTTCCTGGATGCCAATTTTGCACCAAATCATGTTTGCAGTCACCTGTTCACATCACCTGTCTCAACTGGAATCATCATTTCATAGTTTTACCTCATTACTAGCCCTGAAACTCAAGTGTCCCAACTTTTTTTGGAACGTGTTGCAGGCATCAGAATTGAAATGAGTGTTTATTTTGAACACATAAAAAAACGATGAGGTATCACATCAAATAATGTGCTGCTGTATTGTTTTCAATGTAATGCAGGACACAGATGATTTACAAATGACTATTTTTAAGTTTTAATTTTGATTTTACATACAGTCCCAATATTTTATGATTTGGGGTTGTATATTGACATTGATTATTTGTGCTGCTGCATGTTAATCAGAGCATTTGTCGATATACTGTGTTCCTTGAGTGATCCACAGACTGTATCATTAAATAATATAATATAATATAGACCCATATAATAAAATGTGTATTAGAGAGTACTTTTATAACTTTTCATGATATGGCAATGCTTTGAAGTTCTCTCAAAACAAGTTAACATGTTAATGGTTTGTCCCGCAACTGGGATCTTGGAGAGTTTCACAGTCTACATGAGTGTGCAGAGGTAGCTGTTAAATGTGGTTTAAGAGGATTTGTATGTTTGTTCTTTATTTGTGTTTCATAGCTTTTTTGTGATTTTATAAGGTAAGGGTTTTTCTGACACACCTTCCTGCAGATATAGTTCTCATTGGAGAGATTTCTGGATATATATATATGTCATTTGTGTGCCTCTGTGCTGGCTGTGAGCGAGTAGCCCCTGCTTGCACAGACAGAGAGGTATATAGGACTTTGTCTACTACATGTTTTGTCAAACAGTCAGCACCTGATCGTGATCGAATGAAGATTTACAAGTGTGTGGAGGTGGAGCGGGTGCCGCAGAGGTTTAGTCAGTGCTGTATTTAGCACGACTGAGATATGGTTTGAACTGTTATTGTGTACGGGTAGAGGATACACGCAGTGATGTGTAGGTCAGAGC